AATTAGAAATTATTTTTCATTTTTCGTTTACTTATTTGTCCGTTAGATTCTAAATAATTTGTATTTTTACTTGTCAAATACTTTACATTTATATAATAATTGTACTATGAAACCATGTTAAGACTTAATAAGAATCACTATGCTACCAATCCTTTATTAATAGTTCTATATGTACTCTTGATTAATTCTTTGATTTGTAGGATATTTAAAAAATTATGTAAGTATTATTCGAATTCAGTGCTGATAACAAAGATGAAAAACTGTGTGAAAAAACTCCCACTTCACCATCTTCAGTAGGGCCAATTACAACGCTCTGCAAGAGACATATAAATGAATAGTCAACGTCTGTCTCGCTCTTCGCTTCTATCGTTCCCACTTACAGGCTAGTATAGCACTTTTGCACTCTATTCTTATATCTCTGTGTACTTACCTATCTTAGAGCATAAATATATGGAGGAAGCATCGTATGCTTAAACTGAGTGTCGAGAAATGAGAGACAGAATACAAATAGTAGTACATCCTTTCTCTTTCTAACACGCTCGTGATTAGGTAACCCTTTTTCATTTGTATAGCTATACTGGCGTGCAAATTGATGGAGTAGTTGAGTATAATATATATATATATATATATATATATATATATATATATATATATATATATATATATATATATATATATATATATATATATATATATATNATATATAGTCACCTAGCTGGCGGGGGAGAAAGTGACAGAGGGGAGGTTGCAGAGCAGCTAGACGGGTAAAAAAATCAAACACGCTGTCATTAAACATAGTTGTATTGTATTATCAACGAATATAGACGTTTATAAAAGCCCACTTCCCATGTTGAGAGGTGGCGACAAATTTTTGGCTAACAGAGCGTAGTTCTGTTAGCCGAATACGGTATGGCGCTGACGCTGATGACGTATATCTGGCGGAAATTTCAAATGTGTATGGTGGAACACTTAGAAGAATGCAGTTTGCAACTGAATACTTAGGACTTAGCCCTTTTATTATTGGAACTCTGAACATATCTCATCAAAAGAAATAACAGCAACATTCTTTTAGTAAGTGAAGCAGGCGTGTTAGCTTCAATAAATATGTAAGCTTCCCATACATTAGATGAGTATATGCGACTTTCATTCTTTTACAGGTAAATACTTCTATAGCATAGGGGTATCTGTTTTGCCTCCAGTGCTTCAGGACTGCAGTTCGAATATACTTTGCATTGTTTTTTTTTAAATTTTTCTTACGTCATTATTTTTTTTGTTTTCGTATTTTTTTCTGTTTTATTAAAAAAAAAAAAAAAAATTTTCGTCGGAGAAGTCAACGAGCTGCTACTTAATAACAAAAAAGGCATATTAAATAATATGAGATAAGTTTTATAAAATCCAATCAGTCAAAAAGCGATAGTTATTAAGTAAAGTTGGAAAAGTACGTTTTCATAAAACGAGCATTGACCTAATTTTAAGTTGTCGACTGGCTTTGGCATAGAAGCCGATGATTAAATGTAATTTCGTAATTTGAGGGTCATGTTTCCGAAAAAACTTCAAATGACAATGGATACGAAAATTGAAAAAAAAATGTAAATCATTAAAACGGAAGACAAAGAAAGAAGATACTCTGATTCCGTATTTATTATTTACTTTTTGTAGTTTTATACATTTTTTTATATTTCGAAAACGTTATCATTTTGCATTCGCGTTGTCCGAACTTCAACATGACATATAGCTAAATAAGTTTAAATAACCATTTTTTTCTTGAAAAAAAAAAAAACTTGTTTTTGCTGCTACTGTGCCTTATGAGAAAATTGTTAACGCTGTCTTCACTATCATATTTTTAAGGGTAGACTACTTGAACGCGAGAGTTTATGGTATAAAACTCATAAAAGGATTTACAAAGCTCGAAAACAGCTTCTGAACAAAAAATTAAACCAACAAAATGATTTTTTGGTAACCATCAATTTTATCAGTTAAAATTTTTATTTATTTATTTATTTACGTATTTGTCTTTCAAATATTAATGTAAGTAATGTTTTGCACATTAAATCACATTTTGTATGATATTTAAGCAATTTTTTTTTTAAAGTCAACTTTTTTACGACCAACCATAAAAACAGTGGTATGGTAAAAACGAAGAATGCAAAATACATCGGAAAACATAATAAATTTTTTCGTACGAGTGCATATGTTTTATAAATTAGAACAAATAAACTGGGATTTTAAGGATCGAAAAAGAACAAACGCGAATAGTAATAAAATTAATCGGTTTTTTTCAACACAAATAAACATATATAATTGTAAAAAAAAAAAAAAAGATTATGTTAAGAAATATAAATAATGAATAATATATTCTCACCTAACAAATTTAAAATAGACACTTTTATTTAAGGGAGAGAATTAAGCGATCAGTAGATACATCGCTACATCGATTCTATGATATAAAATAAAATAAAATCAGCTCTCTTTGAATTTATTTATTGATTGGTATTTTTTTATTTAATTAGTTTAAAGAAATGTAACAAATTGGCTGAACTGCAGACGATAGGCTAATTTAACATTCAGTGGTTCGGGCCAGCTGATTTAAAATTAATTGAATCTTCACCGTTAGTTTATTGTTTGCTACCGCTTACACTTTAGTAATAATACTTTTATGAAACTATGAAATAATATTTAAAAAAAAAGACCTCCAACACAAATAAAATAATATTTTAAGTTGCAGGTTGCATATCTTTCTAACAATACGATCATAAAAAAAAAAAAAAAAAAAAAAACCTATCAGAAAATTAGACCATAAGAAAAATAAAATATTATCAAGAAAAAAATTGATGGATAAAGCGTTATTGAACCGTCGTCCTCAGGCTTCACAGGCAAAAGCTGATGCCACTTGGTTTTTTTTTTTTTTTTTATAAAGAACATTTATTCATCAAATTGGTTGGATACATAGTCTGTGTTTGGAAGCGTTAAGGAACGTACAAAATTTTGCTTAGTGTATAACAATGGTGAGACGCCTTTAAAGTAAACTTTCTTAAGGTGTAGAATTTAGCCTTAGTTGGTAGTTGAACAGAGATGTTATGAGTGATTACAATCAAGTGCAATATTCTAGTACATTAGAAGTAGTTTGAGTAAGATAAAAGAAAAATATTGGAAAAACTCTCATTACGATTACTGTGGTTTTAGGTATGGCAGTCTAAATGAACAATAAGTGAGTCCACTGATATATTTTATAGTATAATAGGTAACAATCTGCACCGGATTTTGCAGCGATAGTTTCTTATAAGTATAAAAAATGTATAAGTATGTTTACAGAAATATAACAAAATCAAGAGGATTTATAAAAGAAAAGTTATTCTAAACAAGTATATTACAAAAGGCCTACTTAATAATAATAATCAACCGCTTATTTGGATAAGAATACACGCAAGTGCTTTATCTACGTTTTTTTTTGGACAAATGTGTATTACATATAATTACATAGGTAGGAGGTTAGGTATGACTAATTAACACTGGGCTTACACGATTTATTCTATGATATATGATATGTTTACACGATACATTCTACGGCAAAGAACGGGTAAAGAAAACGGACACGACTGGGCCCGATGGGGGCTATGCCGTGGTACTTGGTGCTAGTTTTTTATTTTATTTTTTTATTTATTTATTTGTTTTTCTTCTTTTAGAGTGATATTTCAAAGCTCTCCTCTGTAGTTCAGCCATGTCCGCATCCCTGTCGCACAGCCACCAATATTTGTTAGAGCTTAACCTAGAGAAGTCATAGTAGTCTCTTTTCGGGATGATCTGTGAGTACTTCAGAGGAGGCATACTGACCCTATTTGCCGGAATTTTTTGTTTTTTTGGTGTCTAGACCAATGAAAGATTATTAAGACGTTGTCTAAGTTTTGGATCAGGCCTTGTTGATCAAGAATCATAAAGGCTTCTAGTGGTATTATGTCCGCTCTTCTTCCATTTTCGATCTTTAACGCGTCGGGATTAATAAGTTTATCTGAGACATAAGGGTTATCAATTTTGATTGCTTTAGCAAAGTTGTTCAGGATTGAAGTGAATTTAGTCCGCTTTTATACATTAAACCTATTCTTAGAAATTCACCTTGACTTGTACATCTTTATTTCTCTGCGAGCAGTCACACTGCAAATGTAAACAAAGACTTCCACCCATGTTACAGACAATTTTTATATTTTCTTAACTTCTCTTTCTCTTTCTATTATTTTCCAATATTTTAGTTTCACACGAGCCACTGCTCTGCGTAGCAGTACACATATATGCTAACAAATACGTATCTGTTCGCGCACTGTCTGCGAAGCAGCCTAATAAGTCAGTCAGCTTTCGGCGCGTACAGCTAAAACAACTCACAGTACTCGCTTGCTATATGTAAGGAGGCTCGAGACTCAACGCCTTGCATATACATATAGATCGCGTTTTCCAATCTGTAAAATAGTCTGTAAATAAATAGTTCCAACAGTTTTATTACATCACAGTCTTCCTCCATATTTTTGCTGCTTCTTCGTGTACTTTCGGGTGCACAAAGAGCATCTTACAGTGACGGGAAAGGATACAGTGTTTAAGTGTTAAGTAAAGTTGTGTCACACTGAGAGACTTACAACCTCTCAGTGTGTTAGTGAAGTGCTATAGTTATATTCTCGTGCTAAAAAATTTACGACCTCTTAGTGCATTTGGTTGTAGGAGCCTTACGACCTCCTGCGTACTTCTGTGACGAGTTGAGCTCCTCGTTCACTACTCTCACCTCTTGATACGTCAAGGCGGGCGGCATTTTTACATTTTTTGACACGCTTTACTACGGCAGCATAATGTCCAAGGATCTAAAAACCTTGTTCAAGCGGCAGCAAGAGTTATATTTGAGAATATTCAATGCCGAGACCAACCTCAAGAAGCTCGGAAAAGACAACATCAATAGATGTGTCGTTGACAAACGTCTGGGTTAACTTCGCAATAATTGGAATGACTTCTTGAGCAACCATATGAAGATTCTCGACTTAACGGTTGACTGTGAACAAGAAATCGGCTATTTTGCTGAATATAGTTACGGCACCGCGGAGGAAGCATATCTCTCCTCAGCCGCGTTCATGGCTGATGTGCTGCAGAAGCTTCCCGTTCCGCCACATCAAGATACTGCTCCCACTACAACAGCTCCGTCAAGAAGTATGCCTGCAGTGTCCGTGCCTAATTTCTCGGGTCAATTTTGCGATTGGCTCGAGTTCAAGGATTTATTCTTGGCGATTATTGTGTGTGACTCTCGTCTAAGTAACGTCGAGAAGCTGCAGCAGCTTAAAACCCACGTACAGGGTGAAGCCGCGGAGATGCTGAAGACGATTCAGCTTACAGACGCCAACTTCGATGTCGCTTGGAAAGCTCTTGAAGACCATTACACGAACAAGAGACGTCTTGTCTCAGCTCTTGTTCGAGATCTGCTCAATCTACCAGTCATCACTATAGAGTCTGCTTCGGAGCTCAAGGCATTGCTTAGTGGCACAGACAATGCACTTGCAGTGCTTGAGCAACTCAACCGCCACACGGACCATTGGGACGATTTGATCGTTGCACTCACCGTTCGGAAGCTCGATACTCAGTCTTTCTGTGAATGGGAGTCGTCGATTTGCTCTCAAACTGATCCACCTACGTTCGCTCAGCTTGATACCTTCATAGAGCAGCGCATCTCAATGCTTGAGATCATTAGTGCATCTGTGAAGGCCTCCAAGGTTAAGGAGAAGTCAAAAAGCCACGTTGCGCTTAACCAGTCGGACAAACGCCATAAATGCTTCTACTGTCAAGGGAAGCATTTTCTCTATCGCTGTGAAGAGTTTCACGGCAAAACTCCACAGAAACGCAGACAATTCGTCGCCCAAAAGGGTCTGTGCACGAATTGTTTCGGCTCACACAAGCTCACCGATTGCAAGTCAAGCCATCGTTGTCGAACTTGTTCCTGCAATCATCATACGATGCTGCACGATGAGACGTCATCCTCTGCACACGTAACGTCATCAGGTACTTTGCCAGCTGTCTATGGCAAAGACAGTCAAATATATTGTCATCTACAACTACCTGGTACTTCAGCTGTGTGCACGACGCTACTACCAACAGTACTCGTCCAGCTGCAAGGACCCAACGGACACAGACACATTGCTCGTGCCTTGCTCGACAGCGCTTCACAAACCACGTGTGTCACAAAAAGCCTGTTAAAAAGGGCGGGCATCGATTATAAACCGCAAGAACATAGCTTGCTGAAAATTGGCGGCTTTAATGGCCCACTAGTGCATGGAATCGCACACCTCAAGATTTCACCGCTAAACGACGACAAGGTCAAAATCGGCTTTGACTCCCAAGTCATCTCGCTCATCATGAAGTACTGTCCAGGCCGACACAAAATTCAAAGCGCTTGGCAACATCTAAAAGGCTTAGCAATGGCAGACGATTTTTGCGAGAGACCCTCAGAAATCGAGCTGTTGCTAGGTGCCAATATCCTGCCTCAAATGCTAAAGGAAGGACTACGAATTGGAGCGCCAGGGACTCCAATGGTTCAACGTACCATTTTTGGATAGACGCTGTCAGGTGTTGTACAAACACCAGCTTCATCTTCATCATCGCAACTTGCACATCATTCTCATCACCTTGTGTCAGTGTAAAGTGCAAAGTGTCGTGTACAAAAGAAAACAATATTTCGCTCAAGTTTTGCTCACAAAATAGGCGGGCGTAATGTTCAGGATTGAAGTAAATTTAGTCCGCTTTTATACATTAAACCTATTCTTAGAAATTCACCTTGACTTGTACATCTTTATTTCTCTGCGAGCAGTCACACTGTAAATGTAAACAAAGACTTCCACCCATGTTACAGACAATTTTTATATTTTCTTAACTTCTCTTTCTCTTTCTATTATTTTCCAATATTTTAGTTTCACACGAGCCACTGCTCTGCGTAGCAGTACACATATATGCTAACAAATACGTATCTGTTCGCGCACTGTCTGCGAAGCAGCCTAATAAGTCAGTCAGCTTTCGGCGCGTACAGCTAAAACAACTCACAGTACTCGCTTGCTATATGTAAGGAGGCTCGAGACTCAACGCCTTGCATATACATATAGATCGCGTTTTCCAATCTGTAAAATAGTCTGTAAATAAATAGTTCCAACAGTTTTATTACATCACAGTCTTCCTCCATATTTTTGCTGCTTCTTCGTGTACTTTCGGGTGCACAAAGAGCATCTATGCACAAACCTTACCCAGATCACTCTAATGAGCTTTTAGAGCTCAGCCACGCCAACCGCAATACAGTCCACTACAGTCAATATCCAACAAAAGTGCTCTATCATAATCCTTATCATAAAATTGTCGATTCGCGGAATATTAGCCGCTTTATAAAGCTTTCTGATGGAAATAAATTTTCTGAAGTCAGAGTTTCATAACCTGTACATTTTAAGGCAGACCCTCAGGCAGGACCTTTCAAAGATAAGGATTTTTTCCATGGTGGAGGCACTTTGGTTTATCCACATAGGGGCCACACATGTGATCATGGGTCAAACAAGCAAGCAATATGCGATTATTTGAGAACGTACGTTCAAGTGCTTATTGTAAAAAAGTTTGCCTAAGCTCGTGAATGTGCGACGAACTTTTTTCAATTAGATGATGGGTTGCTGGCTTATACGTAAGAGTTAATGGATTTAGATACCCAGGTATTTAACGCTGTCTTCGTGCTTTTTTTGCTCTGCCTAGTCTACTGCTGTCTTGTCTAATTAGGATGAATTCACACTTAGGGCCATTCATTTTCAGCTTCCATTAGTTATAATACCTGTTTATTTTGTTTACTAGTGATTCAAGATCATTTTGGGCAAAAGTGGGGGTCTTTCGTGGGCAGCAGAGTATGAGGTCATTTGCGAAGAAGGTAGCATGACTACCTCCCTCTTTGTTGAGATTAAAGAGCTTAGAAAGGTCACTGAGATTGAACAAGATGGGTGCATTCACTATCCCCTGCTGGAGGCTCTTATCGAGAGAGAACTCGTCAGAATCAGTTCCGTTGTAGTGGACTATGAAGCGTCTGTTATTAAGCATTTTTAGGACCAGATTAATGATATGAAGTGGGGAGTTTTTTCTGAGCAGTTTAAAAAATAATCCTTTCAACCAGATTGAGTCAAATGCCTTTTCAAGGTCGATCAGGCAGATAACGACCATTTCATGTTGGTGAAGTTGTGCGTGAATTTCGTACAAGACTTTGTGGATTGCGTGACAAGTGGATAGCTTATGCTGAAATCCAAACTGGTCAGATGGAATGAGGTTATTGGCGGAGCAATGAGCACTGATTTGATTGTTGATTGTGGCTTCGAAAATCTTGCTGATATTTGGTAGTAAGCTAATTGGTCGGTAATTTTCAGGTTTGCGTTGGTCCTTATTTTTTTTCGCAATTGGTATGATCTTTGCTATTTGCCAACTAGGGGGGTAATAAGAGTTATTTATTATATTATTAAACAGGATGGTATAGTTACTAATTGTTTTGATTGTTAAGTTTTTTAGAATTATGTTTGGAATACCATCTATGCCGGCAGAGGTCTTGTTGTTAGCTGATTTGAACAGGTTGAGAATTTTTGAGAAATTTGTAAAAATCTTGTTGGGACCATCTGCCGGATGAGTGGATCGGTTTTTATCACTAAACGTGATGAACCTTAGATTGATTGCTGCCCACTGGTCGCTTGCATCTTTGATTGATGCGTAGTTTTGAACTATTAGACGAGTGAGTGGGTCGTCGTTATCTTTGTGCTTAGGATTGCTGATTTATTAATAGTGAGCGGCTAAGGTGCTTAGTTTTTTTTTTTTTCAGTAACAAAAATCTGTTGTTGATCAATTTGCTTATTTTTTATATTTATTTTTGCGTTATTTAAAATTTTAACATTGTTGAAATCAATTTTGATAGTGTCAATTGAGTTTGTATTATTATTTCGAAACATTTTGTTAAAGTTGGGAAAGAAATCCGGTTTTTTGTGGTCAAGATCTTTCGTTCTTTGTGGCTAGAATTTGTTACAAGAAATTGAAAAAAGTTTTTTGATTTCGTAAGTAATATTGTTCATATTTTTTTTCGTTTTGGCGATTTCTAAACTCAATCTAAATGTGGCGTACATTTGGATTTCGGGATCTGGTTAGTAGATTTAGATGGGTAAAAAGAGCTGCTCTAATATCGCTCATTGTCTTGATATCTGGGATGATATATTTATCACAGCTATTGGCTTGTTTGAATTGCGGTACTGCTGAATCAATGGCTTTAGAGATATTTTGGTTTAAGGTGGCTCCTCACTATAAATCCCATAAGAAGAGTAAGCATACTACAACACAGCTATTCATTGGCTGTGGAGGTTCTTGACTAAAAATGGATAGGTACCTATAGTCCCTTCAAAAAAAGTTTAGTCACATCTACATCGTTGACCTATATCGTACAATACAGTGACCCGAGCAGACGTATGTATACAAAAAGTACATAAGTCAGCCCCGCATTAAATTGTTTTTTTAGTTCAGCGTCTCATTTATTTGTATTATAATTTCGATTCCCCACAACTCCTATTCATTTTACGTAAGACTTTCTGACCGATTCAAACTACGTGGGGTACCGCTCTTCGGTGTAGCAGACGCCCCATACTTTTCATCTGTTCCGTGACTTGCACAGTTATCTACTATTTTTACAAAATAGCCTATAAAACCCATGGTAATGTCCAAGTACCTGAATGTCATTGGAAAGATTCTGATTTCTTCTATCTGCTACATAGTTTTCTATTAAGAACTACAGTATCTTTGCTGAGATATCATACAACCTGTGCCACCAATTTGACGACCCTTCATAAGAGGCTATGTTACAGAGTCTATTTTCCAGTTAGTTTTTTTTCAACAATTTTGATGGTGACGAGGTCTAAAATTTTGGGAAAAGACTCCTTGCACCTTCAAGAATCATCCTTTAAAATATCATTTAATACTCCAGTGTTTTGATTTAGTAAGGAGCCACCTTAATGAGTCCAGAAAATGTTCCTGGTTTAACAGGTTTCTGTTATTCGGGATATGATTGTCCAGGCTATCAAGCACCTGCTGGAATTTTAACCATTTCGGGTGTTTATAGTTTTTTGCAAAGTCAACTTGGTTAAAGAAGGGGATAGAGTGAACATGTGGGTTCAGTGAGATGTTAATGTTGAGGGCGTCATGGTCACTACAGTAGTTTAACACTTTAATTTTGTTTTAAATCAAGTTATTTATAGAGATTATGGAGTCCGCTATGCATACGTCCAAGTACGACTGGCTACTACGAAAAGTGGGTTTAGAGGGGGGGGAGGAGTTAAAGTGGATTGATTTTTGTTGAATCCACAAAACAATGTAGCCCCCTCTAGATTTTATTTGGAAATCACAAAATTTGGTGTGCCTAGCGTTGAGGTCACCTGCTAATAAAAAAAAACTATTCAGATCCAATAGGTTGTTTTGTTCATAGAGGTGATTCAATTCTTCTAAGAACGATATGTTGTTATGATCATGGGTGTAAGCACTAATAATAATTAAATTGTGATGCGCGTTAAGTGGGATTTTAATAGCGCATGTTTCTAGTGATTTTGCATGGTCAAGATTGGTGAAGTAAATCGTACTAAATTTAATGAATCTCCTAACTAAGACACCAGTGCCACCACCTTGGGTAGAGTTAGGTCTATCACACCTTACATGATCGTAATGCTTGAACGATAACTGAGGCTTATTGTTTAATTTAGTTTCGCTCCTTAATAAAATGTCCAGCTTATGTATATTTAAAAAATTCACTGTATCGTTTCTTTTAGCATTGGTTACGAGAGATTTCACATTGACTGCTATGATATTTACGCATCGGGAAGCCATTGCAAATTCAGTTTCTTATTTATGAATTTAATCTTATCAGAGTTGGATTCAATTTTTTGTTGAAGGGAAAGATTAACAGTATTTATTTGTTCAGATTGGCTTTGAAACGTGGACTAAATTCCCTTTTGTAATCCAATGATAAAGCTTTTGAGTTCGTTAGTATCGCACTGTTCCGCTTCACGACTTACTTGACTAGTTGACTTTTGGACGATGGGTTCTTGGTTGACTGCCGTGTTGTGTAGGTTATGTTGGTTGCCCACGGCCAGCGCAGCTTTGTCCCTAAGGGAGGCACCAGCTTGAAGTCTTCTTTAGGAAGCAGCTGTCTTGCGGGCATCTATCTCCACCTGGGCCACTTTAAGATAGGGGCAGCTTCTGTAGTTTGCTGGGTGGTCCTGCTCGCAGTTTACGCACTTCACCTTATTATGGTTTGGGGTGTCTTTACAGGTAAGGCACTTGCCCAGCTCGTGACTGTCCAGGCACTGAACACACCTGAATGGTTGCAGTTTTTACTGGCGTGGCCTAATCTTTGACACTTTCTGCACTGGTACACTTTGTTCTTGCGGTATAACTCCCACTTTATAATTTGGTGAAGCAGCGATTTGCGCGAAGAAAGGCACTTTGGATCACTGTCACTGCTGAGATAAACTAGCAGAATATTAGTTGACGAGTTGATCTGTGATGCAGATAATTTTTC